CCAAATATTATCTCCCTGTATCATATTTAAAGAAGTTAAATAATGAAAACTCTGCGTGAATGTATGTATGTTTCTTGCATAGTGATAAAACAATGGTACCTATAGCCATCAAAATTTTAATAACGTAATCTTCCATAAAATATGGGCATGTGGAAGCCCTAATTTGAAATCTGTTTTATTACTGATTTCATAATTTGTAACACTTTAACGAATTTTTAATTAAGAAACTCAACGATTTCAAAGGGAGCAATGGCAACACTGTACGAAAAAAAGATTATCTCGAGCGTGCGAGACTGTGTATTGGAAATTCTAACGATATGCTCATTTTAAAATTATTTTGCCATATTGCTGTTGAATTGAATTTTATGCGTTAAGTACGTAGAACATAATATTTAATAAATAAAGGTAACGAAAAAATGTTTATAAAAACGCCCCTTTGGACGTAGATTAAAATCTGAAACCTTTCAGATTTTTATTTTCTTTTTTGCAGACAAACGCGAAACTTTTATTTTAGAATTTTGCGAAATTTCCCTTTCTTCAATGCAAAAATGATGTATCCCTAGTTATATGATGCAAACAAATTGAGAAACAAGCGAACGTTGTTTCAGCTTCACAAGGCAAATTATTCCATAAATTGAGCATTTTCATCTGGAAAAGATGCGAACCATCTGGAATCGATGGATGGTGAATTTTATCGACGGCAAAATGTATATCAAGATTTAAACGGTCAACTCATTATTACGGAAATCAGAAGTTATTGGGTGTCTGCCATGCTTTATGGAATTTGCCGTTTACTTCCTATCTGATTCTAAGGTTAACCTCTGACAAATCACGCATGCCAAACGAAGGCTGTTAATACAAAGTCTCCCTTTAAAGGAGAAACAAATTTCCAGAAACTCGCCTAATTAATGTTTATTTTTATCATTCTTATTTAAAAAAAAAAAAGAGTTTATTTTATAACCTGTGAAAAATTCAAACTTTATATCAGATACGTTCGGGTGATGGAATTTTAAAATAATGGGCGTGAAAGGTAGAAACAAATTGCAAATTTTCAAAAAATTGGTCGAATTCAATAAATTACTCTAGAAATTTTGGTATAAAACTCATTTGAAAGTTTTTCCCCCTTCTCTATTGGTGTAAACAGTAAAATTCTGATATCTTTTATTTACTCGATAAATCATTTCGTCATTAAATAAAACAATACACATTAAATTCTCAAAAAAGAAAGTGATTTCTAGATGTGAAAGTTTGCAGTTTTAACGAATAATGTTTCTAAGGAACTGTAAGACAACCTAAAACTAAGGAAAACCTTAGTTTTGGGTTGTCGCAGCGCCATGCGTTGAAATCATATCCCCAAATTTTTCATTTTATAATTAACCGAGCTAAATATGCTTAGCTTCCTTCCTATCGCAATCATTTCCGAATAAAATGAAGCTTTCAGAGTATTTCAAAGGCAGGAATGTCTACTATATGAAAGCGTTGATGCATTTGTGATGACGTAAGTTCCAGATGGAATTTGAACCCAGGACAAACTTCAGACCTGCAGTTTTATGATGTGACCTGACTGCCATTAAAAAAACTAGATATGGCATGTCTTTGAATTTACTATTTTATGAAACATTAATTACATTTAATAATCACAAAGGTACAGCTCTACTCGACGAGACGGCTCCTGACCTAAGCTGTCCTGTAGGACAACGAACAGGATAATACCATCCCGCGGAAGGAAGAAACCACTATGAGGGCAGCACAGCCCAGGGCCGGGTGGCGGATCAGATGTGCTAAAGTTGAACGATAGTCATAAGAAAATGAAAGTTTTTGTTATAAAGACTATTGTGCGTTATGCACTAAGTGTTTCGTGCGGTTAGGAAAAGAAAAATGATTTAGGAAGAAAAGTATGTCTTGAAGGGAAAATGTAAAAAGCACTGATAGGAAAGTTAAGCATGGTAATTGGAAATTTGGACTTTGGATTTTAAATTTAAAGAACTAGCATATACACCACAACCAAAGAGCACATAATTTGTGAATAAACATAATTCGACAAAATTTTCATAAAAGAACTAAAAGTAAAGAGAAGCTAGTTTGACATCTCTAGCAAAGTTACAGAATTCTGATGTTAAAAAATTAGAACAATAATTTAAAAAAAGTAAAGAACAATGCCATCACAAATGTACAGTAAGTAAAAAATCATTTTATTTATGACTAGTATACTAAAAAATTGAAAGATTTCAAAAATTAAATTTGCTCCGATTTTAAGAACGTTTTGTTGACGTTGTAGTAAATAACAGTTTATCATTTTTCAAAATATTGCGTTTAAATATCAAATCAAACTTTGGTCAGCGTAAACGCAACACATCTTGTTGCACAGAGCTCGATTATCTAGTATTATGCATAGATTCTCATGCTCTGCTGAGCTCAGTTATCTAAATGAACTTCCTAAAAGCTAATCCCCCTCCAGCCGCAGCAGCTATCTTGCAGCATGTATTTTAATAAATACTATATTCATACTTTGGAAAAATATCATTCATTTGATATTTTGTTACTGGTATAGAATAAGAAACATCGATCTATCATTTATGCATTTCTATGCCTGCGTTTTAATTTTAAGAAATAATGTACGGTGTCCGCCGATAACATCGCGGACGAAAACGTCGCGGAGAAAACATCGCGGAGAAAACATCATGAGAGAAAACATCGCAAAGAGGAAACATCGCAGTTCTAAAACATCGTGGTACAAAACATCTTCGTCGAAAATAAAGCGGTTCAAAAACTTTTGCAGTTTTAAAAACAGCATCGTCGAAAATATCGTGGTAAAGTAACTACAAATCATCGCATGATGATAACATCGCAGACGTGCTTTTTTTCAGGCTTTAATTATTGTAAATGGATATTCCCATAATGATTTGTGAGCGCAAGATATTTTTTTACTTTCATATTTTTTTATTAACTAATAAATTTTTGCTGAGAAAATAAGAAGGAAACTTAAGCATAGAAAATTAATGCAACTTATAGCACTTAATAGAATTTTAAACCAACATGGTTAACTAACAAAGACCATTAATAAATCATTTTTTTATAAAGTTTTTACTGATAATTTTTCATAAAAAGTATAATTTATTAAGTTGCATTTAATTTTCTATGCTTAAGTTTCCTTCTTACTTTTCCAGCAAAAATTTATTAGTTAATAAAAAAATGTGAAAATAAAAATTATCCTTCTTTACATCTTGCGCTCAAATCATTATGGGCATATCCATTTACAGTTATTAAAGCCTGAAAAAAGCATGTCTGCGATGTTATCGTCATGCGATGATTTGTAGATACTTTATTTTTTACCACGTATTTTCGACGACGATGTTTTTAAACTGCAAAGTTTATGAGCCGCTTTATTTTCGACGACGATGTTTTATACCACGGTGTTTTAGAATTGCGATGTTTTCTCTTTGCGATGTTTTCTCCCACGATGTTTTCTCCGCGACGTTTTCGTCCGCGATGTCGATTTCGTCGTGATTGCTTTGAAAAAGAATTCGAAACATTGTTCCTTTAGCGATTTTGTTGCAGAAGAAAAATAGTGTATTTCTGCAGAATTTTTACCTTTCTTTCTTCTATTATAGGAAAATCCTACAAGCAAAAATTTTAAAAGCGAGTTTAAGAGCAAAAATAATCATAACTGGGTATCTGTATCGGTTATTTTTCTGTCATCTGAGCCGGATTCAGAAATGTATGTACGTATGCATGTGTGTATGTATATACATATATGTGTGTGTTGATACACAATGAATGAATGAATTCATCCATCCACCCATCCGTTCGTCCGGTGCTGATAAACAAAAGAATACTCATAAATTTTCTATAAAAGCCGTCGACACTTACAAATGGCGTCGTTGGAAACATTATTTCAATATTCGTCATGTACATGGCTGTCTGAATCATAGTTATGCTCCAGGTTACGAGTTTGGTGTATTCTGAATCTTTGACGATTTTTACTGATGTGGTTACTATTATATATAAGTACCCATCAAACTATATTTAATACATCTTGTGTAAATACCCCTTAGCTAATCTAACCATTTCTTTAGAAAATCTAGGTCACAGAAGTCACAGAAGCAATCCTTGAAATCGTTGAACAAACATTCAGGAATGGTTTCAAGCTGTTAGAGACATTTCTCCACGATGTGTTACGAATGATAATAAGTGTGACCTGTATTGCAATAAATTAGATACGAATTTATATGCAGCTTAGATGCGTTGATGCTTATTTTTATTATATGCACATTAATAGTTATTAATGTTTAAAGTTGCATAAGAACCTTATGAACTTCCTGTTACTTGTATTTTGTTTTCTTGAAGTCATTTCTGAAAAACTCAAAGTTAGCAATTGCTTAACAATAGCCTTTTTATTTAATTTAAGTGAAAACAATAAAATTTAAATATATGAAATTTGTTAAGACAAGAATTTTAATTATCTATTTCGATTTCTCGTAAACTTGCTGAAAATTTCAAATCAGATTCTCTAAAATAAGACTAAGATGACAAGAGTTTTGAAAAGGAAGAAATTCTGCAGAACTGAGTGAGTGCATGTGACTGAAATATTTAGAATACTTGCATATTATCCCGTCGACCGGCCAACTAGGGCGATTTAGCGCCAATTATGGATGACCGCAATAACAGCTGGCGATTAGTGACCGTTGCCGAAATTTCAGCTAAGGATCGACGAGATAGCCCACCAGCGGCCGAGCGGTAAAGTCGCTGAACACTGGTAGTTAGGTCCGAGGTTCGAATCCCGCGAACGGGCTGGCTGCATGGGCGTTTTCCTGGTTTTTCCCATGTGTAACGTGTATACGAGCCAGTTTGCCTTAGACAGTCCTCCATGAAGGCATCCCTCCCCTTAGGCAGATAGCCCTCGAGGCTTTGTCATAAATCACACACACTCGACGGGATAATACGGAGGTACCTATTTAAGATTTTATTAACAAATTTCTAATAAAAATTATTTTACGTACCCGAATAGTTCGTATCCTTCATCACACGAATAAGTGGCCGTCGTCCCTGTCCTCCGATCTTCATAGGACAAGCTTACAGAAGAATAGATAGGAACTGCAGGATGAGGACAGATTTGTAGTTTGTCACCATTTTGTGCTGAAAAGAAATACTTTTATTACTTTAAGCTTCATACACATTTCGTTTAACAATAAGTACATCTTAATATTGGAATTCATTTGGTTACACAACGCTTCAGTAATATATGAGTATGCAAAATGTACCTTCTTATATATCATCTTAAATGTAAAATATATCTTCTTTATTATCTTCTATATTAATTCCAATCCAGTTCTTTCTAAAACTTTAAGAATTCTAATATCTTAATTTTTATAGTTCATTATTATGATGAATTACATGGTTCATTATTACGACAGACGGGGTGTTAAATTTGCTCCTGCCTTTGTTTTCCATATAATTATTGCCATCGCTCCTCCCATTTTACAGAATTTGTTTTGCTCCTGAAGTAAGGGTAAATGTGTCTGACCAACCTCAAAACAAACTGAGTTTTTTTTTTTTTTTTTTTTTTTTTTTTAAATCTGCGCAAAAGTCAGGTTGCTACTGTTGTGGCGACTAATCTCTCTTGTCTAAAATCAGAGGAAGTCCACGAAACTAATCATAGCTAGGCGTCGAGATTGCGTTTGTTGTTGGCAAGAGCCTTGGACACCATGCAGGTAAATGTACGACTTTGCTCAGTTCCGTCCTTGCCGCATATTTAGAGTGCCCTCATGCTGCACAGACATTATACATTTACAAACATCTATGTCTTCTCCAGTATTCGAAATCAAACCCTTCGGCACGATAGTCAGAGTCCCTAACCACTACCCTGGTTGGCTGGCATCAAAGTTGCTGTTTTTCCTAATTTTTAATCAACTAATGTACTAATATTTTTTTAATAAACTAATTACTAAATGTTGATTCGCAGATGTTGATAAAATAATTTATTAAACCTACCTGCCAATATCATCTTATTCCAATATCCTGAGTTTACAGACTTCTGTACTGCCTAGTTTGTAAATACTAATCAAAGCCCGATAAAATAAAAGTTTATTTGTTAAAAGAAACTAGTAGCAAAACATGGTTCTTTAAAAGACTTCATAGCTTAAAAAAAAGTTTGTAACATAAGGTGAACAAAGAAGCAGCAATTAAATTCTCGTTAAGAGTGAACACGTTTGGATCTCGAAAAAGAGGAGTTTTGCTTCAATTATCGTCACCCTATCTAATGAGAAAGCAAGTATCTGTGTGAAAACTCAGAGTGGGAAAACAATAGTTTTACTATTTAAATGCAAAAGCCTTTTGATCAATATAATCAAATGAAGCAATTTTGAAAGACTATAATTTAAATATCCATTTTTATTTATTAATGCTAGGGAGTTTTGAAATAATTTTCATAGTTAGTATACTTATGCTAAATGAATGAGAATTATTTAGTTTCATGTCAGTTTGTAAAAATTACAGGAAAGGTAATTTGTTCCAAATTTCAACCACTCAGTTAGCCGCCCAGTAACCAGTTTTTTAACCAGTTACTGGTTGAAGTTTTTAAAAATATTTTCCTCATTAGCGTTATGTGAGAGTCATTTAACATGGATTACTTTTGAAATAATGGAGTTTAAAGAGATTTATTACAAAGAGTTATTTTTATAATATAAAAGGGAAATAACAAATTAAAATTGACAATTAAGAGATTATTCCAAATTAAAGTTAGATTTTAATCATATTTATTTTCCCTCACTGAATACTACGTAGTAGCAAATACGAGTATAAAATATAAAGATGTTTGCATATCAATTTATTTTAATACACTATAAGAAATTGTAGTAAAAAGTGTACAGCATTCTAATTCTTATTTTTATAAAACTTTTAATAAATTTTATAATATCTTTTCAGTTCAGTTCCTAATTTTACAGATGCACAATTCCGTAAAACATTTATAAATATTATGCATACCCCTCTAATTTAATAAAAATTTCCAATTTTGTGTAATTTCTATTGAAGCCTTAACCACTGGTAAAATAACCAGTGGAAACCAATTTTTAAGGGCGCTTGAGGGATTTCTCGAAAAGGCCTCCGTTCAGAAGTAAAATATAACATCTGTAATTCTGAACCAGTACCATATTCTGTTCTTTAATATTACACAACCAACCATTACATAATTTACTTAACACCAATCATTCTCCAGAATTTCAAATTATTTTTTTTAATATTTAATTTTTTAATTACATAATCATGAGGATTATTTAATTATATTTGCACTACATTCAGTTTTATTATAATTAAACAATTTCATCAATAATTAATATTTATATACTAGCGGAAGTACCTCCGATGCCAGTTAAGTTAGGCTGAGAGTAATGCATCCAATAATAGAGAAAACGATACCGCTGTCATTCTTCTCTAATAACGATGCAAAAAATACGATTCATAGTCATACATTTTTCACTCTGATGCGATATGGAACCCACATAAAACTTTCGATAGAAAAATAAGCTAATTCTATCTCATTATATCAGCAACAATGGCACGCAGTTTTGAATGATTTTCGTCTTTCTAAACAAATAGTCGTAAAAGCTCAAGTTCCATCCAATATTTCACCTATATTCAATTTTAGTCGATTAAATCGGGCAAAGCATTTATCATAATGGATCAGAAATCAATAACGCGAACAAACAAACAAACACACAAATAGATATTCTTCTTAATATGTATAGATTTTGTAAAACTTACACATTTTTAATTAACAAACTCTACGATTTGAAAGCGAGCAGTAGCGACAGTTTTTGAAATAAAGCATTTTTATCTCCAACGTTCGAGAGTGTTGCCACTCGGAAGTGCGAAAATTAGCGCTTTCAAAGTTTTTAATTAATATCTCGGCTGATTAAAGTCGTACGAAGATCGGAATAGTCGAAATGGCTTCCCAATAATTTTTGGAATCGGGAATAATGTATTTAATGCTATTTTTATTTCATCGTGAAACTTGGAAATTTTTTATTTACAAACTATAGGATTTGAAAGCTAGTAGTGGCAACAACTTTCGAAAGAAAGCAGATTTTAATCTCCAGTTTGCGAGACTTGCCACTCGGAAAAATGAGGGCGAAAACTGTCATTTTTCCGAGTTTTTAATTAATATCTCTGATTTTAGCTACTTTTTCTTTAAAAAAAAGTAGATGTCGACCTTTTCCAGGACCCAGAAAAGAATTCTAGAATGTCTGGTAACGATAGCTATAGTAGTGACTGAGTTATTAGTCACTATTATAGCTACACAAAGATTTTCTTCTTTATATATATATAGAGAGAGAGAGAGAGATTACAAACACATAGACTTTCTTTTGTATATATATATATAGATAGAGAGAGAGAGAGAGAGAGACATTAATTATAAAAACATTCAATTATCGCAGGTTTTATTATTTTCTATATTAATATTCAAAACATAGTTTTATGTCATTTTCTGTGCTAACAACGGTTTTATTCATAATTATGCTCCTTATTTATCTCATTCTAAAAAAATTCAAAATTTGTAAAAACAATTAGTTCATTAAATTTTAATAATGCTTCGTAATTGAAATGTTTGAAAAAAGTTTTAAATTGATTGCTTAATTTATTCAGACCAAATGCTTAAAAGTAAATGACATAAAATTTCAGTTAATTATTATTTGTATAAAAAGATCAATACATACTTGTATTTTAAATAGAATATAACAATAAAAATTAAATATTTTTATATTTAATGATTTCGAATAGTTTTATATTTAATGATTTCGAAAACATATTAGCTGCACTAAGTAATTAACTGATCGACCCATTTCTCTGCAAAAAAATTAAGTATACATTATTGACAAAATACTACAGTAAAACGAACCCACAAAATTTATTAATTAAAAATCATTTCAAATTAGTATATGAATATCATTATGTTTTTCTTATTATATATGTGTTTAGTCTTGTATCTATTTACATACTCTCTCAATTTGTTGTATTGTTGAGCATTAGTTAAGTGTAATTCCCAGGATAGAAAGCAACGCGGGAATACTTGCTATTCATATTTACTTGCTATTCATAGTCATTACGCTAAACTATTCATAGTTTAATCTTAATGAATGTAAACATTCATTAAGATTAAACTATGAAGGACAGAGGAGTTGTATTTCTAACTATTTATTAAATAATAGAGATCATACATGGCAATACTGCAATATTTTTCTTTTCTAGATATTCGACATTCGGTTTGTTACGCAAGTAAAGATTTTGAATAGATGGTTGAAAATAAAATCACTCCAAAGTACGAGTACATAGTACGAGGTTTAATTAATAAGTTGATAAAATGATAAATTTTTCAGTGTAATAAATATTGAAAAAAATTTAAACATTTTTTTGGAAAGTATTCGCTTAGAACATTATTATATTACATCCACTTATATACTATCCACATCTATTATATTTTCGTAAGTTATTTTTTAAGGGTAACCGAAAAAAAAAAAAAAAAAGAAACCAAAATGCAAGCGGGAAGTCAAGAATGCTTTGAGACTGTAAATTGGAAGTTTTCAGATTGTTTCTTTTTCCTTGATTTTTTTTTTCTTAACTTTCTTTCTTAATTTTCTTCTTTCTTAAAGCTTAATGTTTTCCCTCCGCTACATTTTTACATTGCGGAAATCTCACAGTTAGCGGGGAAAGTTGTGGCCTTTTCTTGTGCTTTTTTTTAACCGCATACCGGTCTCTGATGTTACGTTTCCTTAGACTCGTTAGGCGATGTGTGGAAAAGAGAAACATTCCACACCTGCTAGAAAGTACCTTCATCAACGGTTCGTAAGCAGAAGATTTAAAAAAAAAAAAGTCATCATCATTTTGACTTCCTGAGGTTCTTTCACCAGCTGGCTAATCATCCATTCGCACGTTATGCCATTAATTGGCCGGATCGGTTTGAAAAGAAAACTACCGGTTCAGTGATTGGTTGTTGTTTGGGTTTCCTGCCTCTGGATATAGGTCAAGCGCAGAAGATGCAAGATCAGACCACCTGGAGTCTGCCTGACCTGCCAGTGATATGCATATCGTTTATGATTTCTTTGTCTAACTCTTCCTCATCTCATATTAAGCTTGCTCGT